CCCCCCCCCCCCCCCCCAAAAAAAATCCTATTCTAATGATGTCATGCGAGGGATGTTGTTTCCCAGCTGGCATGTGAGCGTGTCACAACCCCTAACCTCGAATCCCACAGCCACACCCAAAGGTGGCATGTGAGCGTGTCACAACCCCTAACCTCGAATCCCACAGCCTCCCACCAAATTAGGGTTTAGGGTTAGGGTTTGGGGTTTAGGGATTTAGGGTTGAGGGTTTAGGGGTTTAGGGGTTTAGGGGTCTAGGGTTTAGGGTTTAGGAGCAAACCCAAACTTGAGGCTCTGAGCCCTAAGCTCGCATCTTTTGCCTCCCAAACCTGACACCGTCGCAATCATGGAACCCTTTACCGGAACCTTTAGAGAAGCCCTATTGTAATTGTTATATTCCCCCCCACCCCCCCCCCACCCCCGCCCGCCCCCGACGCTGGAATGCTGAACCCCTCAGGTATCGTGCCCTCGACGAGAATGAGTTCGAGCGTTTCATGGCAGGCCCAAAAATTTAGGGTGCAGGGTGTAGCGTCTAGCTAGCATCTGGAATCTAGGGTTTAGGGTTGAGGGTTTAGGGTTTAGGGATCGATTAGAGGGGGCTCAGGGTGTTAGGCTGTATCACCGGGATCGCAATCGCTACGTGAAGCTTCGTCAAAGAATTACGTTAAATTTTGAATCTCTATTCTTAATATTAAAAAATCAAGATTCTGAACGATACCTCTATTATAATCATTATCGAGTCTCTCGAATTTAGGATCTTACTGCCGCTGAAGGTGGGAAGCATGTGCAGGCTTCGTTGGAGCTTACGGCTCATTTGCCCGAGGTAACTCTTGTAGGGCAGGTTCAGGGTGCTATTGCAGACGTTAACGTATTTCAACTGTTGGAGATAAGACATCCCCTTACGTCCCTTTATGTCAGAGCAAAGTGAGGTGTGGGGTAGACCTAAACCCTTAAACCCTAAACCCGAAGACCTACTCCCTAAACCCTAAACCCTTAAACAGAGCGCCATTCTATTCGGCTGCTACCGATGCACAGCTTACCATGATGAGAAAACGAGTCCGGCTGCTTGAAAAAGCAACTGTTTCACGCTCCGGCTGTAGCGCAGCACCCCAAAACCATAAAAGCCTATGAAATCTGTCTGTGCAGTGTGTCTCTAACCCTACAAGCCGTAAGTCCCTATGTAAAACCCTAAAGCCTGACTTGAAGTGCATCTGTCGTGAAGCAAGGTGGCTCTACAATGTGGATCGGAGACCGTACAAATACTCCTTAAACCTCCCTATATATATATATATACACGATATTTCTACTAAAACCTCTGCTAAATTTCAAGGTGCCTACCTTATATTACTCAACCTTTGAGCTCTGGGCTAATGCTCCAGAAACAGAGCAGACACTCACAAATCCATCACTTGAGGAATGCAGTGCAGGACCATACTCCTAAAAGAACAGTATAGGGATCCTTCATACCTCCGATCAGCAGTTTCCAGCACTGTTCGAAGTACCCTGATTCCGCTACAGTCTTCATCATGGAAACTGTAGGCCTCGATCCATCGACAGTAATTCAGGGGTCGGATTAAGTAGTACAGACATCCCCTTATAGTGCCTATTGTATAGTATAGCTGTAGAACAACCCCACAATGCTATCCAAGAGCCCTGCAGTACTTTAGCCTTGGGGCCTCGCGTGCAAACGATTCTTCGAGACACGGAGCCGATCACGAAGGACATGAGGCTCAGGGTTTAGGGTTTAGTGTGTTAGAGTTTAGGACTTAGGGTGTTCGGGTTTAGGGTTTAGGGTTTAGGGTGTTAGAGTTTAGGGTTTAGGGTTTTTGAGTTTAGGGTTTAGAGTGTAGGTTTTAGGGCGTTTAGGGTTTAAAGTTTAGGGTTGGGGCTGGGAGTTTTGAATTGAGTACAGGACCAGCGTTTCTTCAATCACGGTCCACGTGTTTAGGGTGCGGTTCTCCTTAATGTCGGCTTACATATAACCCAAACCAAGAAGCCCTAAACCCCAAGCCCCAAGCCACAAACCCTAAACCAAAGCCCCAATGCCCCAACCCTAAACCCCAAGCCCCAAACCCTAAACCCCCCCATAAGCCCTGAACCCTAAACCCTGAACTCAAACCCTAAACCCCATAAGCCCTGAACAGTAAACCCTACACCTCAAACCCTGACCCCCATAAGCCCTGAACCCTAAACCCTAAACAACAAACCCTAAACCCCTATAAGCCCTAAACCTCAAACCCTAAACCCCACAAGCCCTTAACCCTAAACCCTAAACCTCAAACCCCAAACTTTCATAAGCCCTAAACCCTAAACCCCGAACCAGAAACCCCATGAGCCCTGAACCCTAAACCCTAAACCTCAAACCCTAAACCCCTGTAAGCCCTGAACCCTAAACCCCAAACCCTAAACCCCATAAGCCCTGAACCTTAAACCCTAAACCCCAAACCCTAAAACCCAAAAGCCCTGAACCCTAAACCTCACACCCTAAATTAAAACCCATAAGCCCTGAATCCTAAACCTCAAACCCTAAACCCCATAAGCCCTGAACCCTAAACCCCAAACCCTAAACCCCCATAGGCCCTGAACCCTAAACCCTAAACCTCAAACCCTAAACCCCATAAGCCCTGACCCCTAAACCTCAAACCCTAAACCCCATAAGCCCTGAACCCTAAACCCTAAACCTCAAACCCTAAACCCCATAAGCCCTGAACCCTTAACCCTAAACTTCAAACCCTAAACCCCATAAGCCCTGAACCCTTAACCCTAAACCTCAAACCCTAAACCCGATAAGCCCTGAACCCTAAACCCTAAACCTCAAACCCTAAACCCCATAAGCCCCGAACCCTAAACCCTAAACCTCAAACCCTAATCCCCATAAGCCCTGAACCCCACAAACCCTGAACCCCTTGGGAAGGCGAAAACATATCCCTCACTACCAGCTTCCGAGCCTCCGGGACGGAGTGGTTTAGGGTTTATGGTTTGGGGGTTTGGGGTTTAGCGGGTTTAGGGGTTCGGGGGTTAGTAAGGGTTTAGGGTTTAGAGGTTTGGGGGTTTGGGGCTTAATGGTTGACGGGTTTGGGGGTTAAGGGTTTCGGGTGCAGGGTTTCGGGGTTTAGGATTTTAGTCGATGAGTAAAACTACGTGCATATATTCTGCAGAGAAAGATATTTGTTGTGTGTAGATGATATTGGTTGTACATAGTACATCGTTCAGCAGTTTCGTACGGGGGTTGAAGTTTTGTTCTGTGGGGACGTTCTTCAGGGTTCTAGGCTGCTGGGGCTGAGGCTTATAGGGTGCACGGTTTAGGCTTTAGGGTTTGGGGACGTATATTTTCCGAGCTCACTGCTCAAGCCCCTGAAGTTCAAACACCCACAAGCCTTAGACAAAGCCTAGACTCTAAACCCTAAAAACTCGTCACGCCGCTTAAGCCCGAACCCGGAACCTTATAAGCCTCAAACCCTAAGCTTAGTCTCGCAAGCCTTCACCACTGATCTTCACATCTCCCAGGCTCGTTCGTCGGCCAGGGCCGCAGCAGCTCTCCCTCTTGGTGCAGCAGCTGCAGGCTCCCTTTCAGGGTTTATAGTGTTCGGGCGAAACCCCAAACACTTGAACAATGAGTAAAGAATGTACAGGCCATACTTACAAGCACCCGGATTTTGGCTCCCTTGGGGTTTTTAGTCCTGCGAACTTTATCATGCATCCGTGGTACCAGGCTTAATTGTCTTGGCCCTTCGCTACCCATATACGGATACGGAGCACTCTAAGTCTAAGGCCCAAGCACACACTATACGGATAACAGAACGGCAACAACCTCTCAAACGGTACAGCCTAGAACTCCTGGACCATTCCACGGGTTCTAGTTTACGGTTACGAGGCAATATCCAACCATTCTCAGGAGTTTGGCTCTGCAGGAACATATACTTCACGTCCTACAGCCCATAAACCCAGCCCAAACGGTCCTAGGTGTTGTTATGGGGGATACTTGCCCAAATCATAGAGCAGTACTTCCGGCTATCGAAACCCGAGCTTCTACTTACTTCGCCACCCTCTGGGCGACAAGTCCTCGATCCCTAGAAGCCACGGCCTGAAATCTGCTTCCTGGAACCGGAGCCCTGTAATTTCTCCGAGAAGCTTTGAATCAATTCCCCGAACCCCAGAGATCCTGCAGGCGTTTAGGTTGTAAGGAAATCCCTAAACCCTAAACCCTCAACCCAAAACCGCTACAACTGAGCCCTGATTCCTACCGAGACTCTGGACCCTGCAGTTTCTTTCTAGTTGACCACAAATACTCAGCATGAATGACCATAAGGGCTCTATTAAGGTGCACTTGGGGGTCCTGGAAGATCTGACTCTAAACCCTGAGCTCTAACTAGCCTTAAGCCTTATAAACCCTAACCCTAAACCTTAAATTCTTAAGCCCCAAATTACGATGGAAGCCTAAATAATTACTGGTACCAATATTGTTCGTTAGGCTCCTCATTATACTTATACTATAAAGGAGCCCGAAACCTACGAAGGCCCCAACCGAAAGCCTCCCTGAAGGCGTTTGCCTCCGCAGAGCTGCAGCGTGGCGCCGCACTGTCGGCCCCTGCAGCCAGGGCCTTCGAAGAGGCAGCAGTTTAGGGTTTAGGGTATGCCTCAAACTAACAAAAGGCTTCCATTAAGGGCATTATAGGGTTCACGGTTTAGGTTCCCCTTTCAGTAACTCTATATTAGTGTCCGGTTTCAGTGTTCCTTCAAGGGTACTATACAGGAAAACCTTGCTTTACACTCTAACCTGCGTTTTCGTAGATAGCGAATGCACGAACTTTGAACTTTTTGGCCTTCCAGACTTGGTCTATGATAGGTGATCTAGGGTTTGTCAGGTTTTTGTCAGGAATTATGGCTAACCCGCATTTGTGCAGGTTCTGATCCATAAGCGGAATAGGGAATTAATAGGGACCATACAACATGTAGGTTTTGGTGGCTGGATACGGTTGGGCCGAGCAAGTAGTAGCCTTATGCCGCAAGATTGAATACTAGGAAAGCAGTACAGGTGGGGATGAATTTGGATGAATCATGTTTGTTCCTTGGTTACCGCTTTATCTTCCAAGCGCATTCCAAAGGCCTCCATCCCCGCACCCGAAACCCAAAGACGAGAACAGAACAGCAACATTCTAGTCCAGCGAATTAAAATTGTGTCCGCATTACAGTTTTTGTGTGGTTTAGATGAGGATAGCACGTCTTGTATTTGGGGCTTGGACCTTATACTCGTACCAAGTGGCGGATGGCCTTGCTATATTTTCGTGTGAGTGCAATGAGGCGTCTCAGGACTATGGTTGCGTCGGGCCAGCATCACGAGCATCATTGGTAAGTCGTTTCTCATGCTGCCCGCGAAAGGTAGAGCTGGCTGTGAAGCGTTACAACCCTCAGAGAGTAAGGGACGTCCTTCACCCCAACTTAGAACAGTCATAGCCCTTTTGAATATAGTTTGTGTTGGGATCACAAACACCTAGAGGCTCCTCAAACCCTACACCCTAAACCGCTAAATTCTAGACCCTGTTAACATTCCAGCCTTCCAAATTGATAGGCTCAAGCCCCAAGTTGCTGCGACCCCACACACACCTGGTAACTTTTTGTGACGTTCAAAAGACACAAGCTTCAAGACGCAAAGACTTGCAGACCTTACAAATAGGACGGCAAACCTCAGACCGTAGACCCCTTAACCCTTATAAACCCTAAACCCAAAACCCTATAACCCCGGAACCCTCAACCGTAACCCATCGGATCCGACTCTGTCAGCAGCAGGTAGTACACGGTGCCAATGAGGCTCTGGTCAGCAGTGCCGACAAGCAGCCACTGAGACGAGGAATCAGCCGGTGTTCTCGTAAGCCAGCACTAAAAAAAGAACCATGAACCCCTGCAAATAATCCTGTAAACCCTACAAGCCCTGTAAACCCATGAAAACATCAGTAGATTGGTCCTCTGTTGCCGTTGGCGGCCTCGATTGTAAATCCGACGCCGTAGTTCTTCCGACCCTACCAACATCATTCACAAAAACCTGAATCAGAGAATCCTGTCTGTAAGTAGTTCCTGCACTTTACTGCACTCCAAACCTCCCAAAATTCCAGAACATAACATACCCAAATCTCAATCATATTCATGCCGGTCGCTATATAATATTATAAGCCACGCAGTAGTACTTACAACAACCCCTTATAACACCCTTTTACTTGGCAGGAACCCCTAAACCCAGCAGTTCGACACCCCGAGTCCGCTCTTGTCTACGCTAGTTATACACTGCTTGTGGACGATGGAGAAGTTTACCCGCAGACATTGCCCTAAACCCCCCAAAGTCTAAAACCCCTTAACATCAAAACGCCGAACGCCAGAAACCCTGAGCCCTAGAAGCCCTAAACCCATACAAACCCTAAACGACACACTCTAGCAACCCTAGAAGCCACAAACCCTACACCCTCCAAACCCAATGAGCCCTAAACCCCTTCGCAAGCCACAAACCCTAGAACCCCCATATGGGTAGTTCTCTAAATTAGGGTCCCTTTTGGTCTAAAAGGGTGCCGCACTATATTGGGGACGCAAAAATGGACCCTAATTTAGAAAACTACCCATAAAACCCTTCTTTGAACCGAGCCGAGGCTGAAATGGGCAGCCGGCGCTGCAGCGTCGCTGCTGCCGCCTGGCTTTCTGGGCCTTGGGGGTTTAGGGTTTAGAGGTTTGCGGTTTAGGGTCTTCTGGGTCTTGGCTGTTTAGGGGTTTGTGGTTTAAGGGTCTAAGGCTTATAAGCATTAGGGCTCATATTTGGGGATTCCATAAAGCCCGAAACCTTTGCTACAGGTAGGCGGGAGTGCTGCAGCCTTAGAGGATAAGGTTCCACAGTTTAAGGATTTGGGGTGTGGGGCTTTTAGGGGTTAGGTTTCATGTATCCTTAATCCTGGAGTTTAGCTTTACCGTGGTAGCCGGATGTAAGGATGCGCCAGCTGCGGTGGCTGTTGGGCAAGCAGATCGTCTCCGTGGACCTGGCCACACAGATGCTGTCTCTTTTGAAATGTGGGCGGATTTCCAAGTGCCACTTTTCATCGCACGAGGTGGACAAACTTGTGGAGCTGACGAAGGCTGACGCCTTCGTCAACGAGGCGAAAATCCTCGCGAGACACTTGAAAGCGGTGAGAAAGAAAACATGCAAGAAACCGGAGAGGCCCATGCGGTTCCATCGCGAGCTTCGCGAGAAGTAGGGGCTTCCGCGTTGCAGTGCAGATTTTTTGCTTTTTTTTGTTTCGGGAAAATCTGGGAGGGCTGCGTTGATTGCGTTCTGGAAGCCGCCTCGCGTGCGTTTGACAAGCGACTCGCTTTGCAAAGAAGTGCACGCTGCCTGATGAACGTCNNTTAAGAATCTAGCGATGCAGATGCAATTCGGGATGTGGCTGTGAATCGGAACGGCTATTCTGAGACAGAGGTATTGAAAGATCATATGTTGCAGCTGATTCCTTGATCCATAACTTCGGTGACATCCGAGCAACTCTCACCTTCATTTGCATGTTGACATTGGCCACAGCAGACGTCGCAAAGGCCCGTACATACAGGCGCTATTTTTGCGGCTAATTTTGTCGCTATTTTTTGCGCAGATTTTTGGCATATTTTTCTAAAGATTCCAACCCGACTTAAAAAAATCTGCGCAA